TGCAACTTCTCAACACTGCTGTTGGCATGAAACGCAGCCATAGACACGGGGCAAATGAATGGGTGCCACTACGTTCCAGGAAAACTTCCTTTATGGACACTGAAATTTGAATTTCAGATAATTGTATGGTTCATGAAATAGTGTTCTTCTTTTGATTCCTTTCGATCATTTAAAAATTTAAAAACTCATCCTTAGCTCAGAGGCCATGCAGCATAGACACAGATTTGGCCCTGGGCCAAGGTCTGCACATCTTTGTCCTAAATCAAGCCACAGATCAACACCAATTGATGTACCAAGAACCTCTTTCCATCTTTAAAAAAATGTAAAAATAAATAAATAAATAAATAAATAAATTTAAAAAGTCCTGCTGAGGGAGAGGCTCCCTTCTGCCTGTCCTGGGGATTGGGGTCAGTCTGCCCAGCACAATCTGGCTTCTTACTTTTCTATGAGTCCAGGGAGATTGAAGCAAAGACGGGACACTGAGCCTCTCTCTTAAGTGATCTGGACTCAGGGCGGCGAGCTACTAAGGTAAAAATGCTCGTTTTCCACAACAGAAAAGAAATCTGACTACTTTCTAAAACTAAAATGGAGTCCTTAAGCTTGGGGGTAGATGGGGTGCTCATGCTGACTGGAAGCAAAGTGGAGCCAGAGAGAAGGGCACAGAGGGAGAGCAGGCAGCCGCCATGGCGGGGGCGCCGGGGCAAGTGTGCATGGAGGTACCCAGAGCCACGTACAGGATCTGGGACAGAATCGATGCCAAATGTGGTTCTCCAATAAATAAACAGGGAAAGGGAGAAGTAGAGGGTGAGGGAGAGAGAGAGAAAGACAGACAGACAGGGTGGGGCAGGGGGAACAAGAGTAAGAGAGTCTAGGACTCTCATTTTGCAATTTCTGCTTCCTGTTTTTTCACAAAGCCCAGTGTCATCCCAGACCTCTGTTTCCTTGAAAAATTAATTCTCCCTTTAAAAAGAAGATTTTGAGACAAGGTCTTGCTTTGTTGCCCAGGCTCCTGTGGTGCAAACACAGCTCACTGCAGCCTAGACCTCCTGGGCTCAGGTGATCCTCCCACTTCAGCCTCCCATGTAGATGGGCCCACAGGCTTTCACCACCATGCCCAGCTTAAATTTTTATTTCTTGTAGAGACAGGGTCTTACTTTGTTGCCCTAGCTGGTCTCGAACTCCTGGGTTTAAGCAATCCTTCCACCTCCACCTCCCAAAGCGCTGGGATTACAGGCATGAGCCACCACACCCAGCCGATCCTTTCTTGAGTAAAGTCTGGTCAATGGGCAACTGTTGCTAATAACCAATGAATTCTAAAAAATTCTCAAAAGTTCTAAAAATTCTTGGCATCCCCATTTTCTCTCCTATGTATCAGCCCTTGAAGTTTGGATGCTTTCCCCAAACAAGCTCTCAAATCTACCAAAATCCTCCACACCACTGGCTCCAGTGGGCACTCCTCAGCCTAGGTCTGGATTCCTATTGATCACCTCTTCCCTTGGCTTCCAACTGCTCTCCAGATGATGACAAAATCCTTGCCAGGGTCCTGTGTGGCATGGCCCCTGCCAACGTCCCCGCCCTCAGCGCTTGCCACGCTCCCCCTGCTCTCTCTCTCTCTCTCACTCACGATCGGGTGCATCCTCCTGCCACAGGACACCTGCATGTGCTGCTCCCCTCCCTGGACCTTCTTTGCTCCTGACTCACTGTTCACTTTTCCAGCAAGCCTTGCCTGGTAACTTCCTTCTGCCCCGGGACTCAATGCTTTCTTTAGATTCTGATGTGGCATCAAGTCCATCTCCTCCACTGCTCTTGTCATAAGTGATGCTTTCTAATAATGTGATTCTGTAACTATTCATCTATTCCCTACATTACAGTGGAAGCTTGGGGAGGTGCTAAGTGTCTGGCTAGAATGCAGAGCCACATAGAGCCATGTAGTATCCACGTCCCCTCCACATGGACATCTGGTTTTGAGCCAAACAATGACCTCTGCCTACCTCTTGCTTTTGCTTTCACTTATTCACCTAGTTTTGGGGGAACAAATGAATGAATGAGTGAATTCTCCAGGAATCAACCCTGGTTATAAGGCTCTCAGTGTGGAACTACTCCAGGCTTACATCCCACAAGTGGGCCCATGGAACTTAGACCCTGAGAGACACAGACATTATCTCAGCCTGCTGCCCACTACCCAATATGGCACTCTGCCCTGGCACATCAGAGGAGTGTGGTCACAGACAGGGCACTGTACTGGTTGTCTAGGGCCATGAGCTGGAGTCCCGGCTCTGCCCTGATCACCTGCTGCCCTTGGCAAATCCCTTCCAAGCCCTGCGATCATTTGCCTAGCCGTGAAACTGGGAGGATGGGTGTCTCCTTGCCCTTCCTGCTCAGCCTTTGGCACTTCAGTGATTCTAGGAGAACATCAGCTAGAACCCACAGCAAGAGTGACCCCTGTGAATTAAGGAGCACAGAGCCAAAAGGGTGGGGACCTCCAGTGGGGGACCTACCTCAGCCAGGGGCTTGATGTTGCCTTTCTCCACCAGACCAGGAGTGAGGGCCACGCCACTCTCAGAAATGGCCCGGTGGAAGAGGTTCTTGGACAATGGAGAGAAAACCTGGGAGCAGAATGGAGGGGAGGAGAGTTCATGCTCAGAAGTGGGGTCGGTGACTCTCTTGCTCTTCCAGGCTACCTCCACCCCACCTCTGCCTTGGCCTGTTTCCCTGACACTCGGGGGCTCAGTGGACACAATGACTCCTTAACTGGCTTGGTCTTCTTGCCAGGCTCACCTCCCACCCAAGAGGTCCTCCCACCCAAGAGAACCTTGCCTGGCCTGTTTGCCAAGCTCAACTCTCACCTGGCCACCCAAGGGATCCTCAGTGGGATAGGGACAGAACACAGGGCAGGGACATAACAGGAGGTGTGGGCACAGATGAGCCTAACCAACAAACATATTAGAAAGGCAGCTTAGCGTTGCCTAGCCACAACTTACAATTCAGCGTCTCCATGATTCAGATCTTATCCTAAAAAATGATCCCAGAAGCACACAAAGATTTCTAAGAATGCTCCTGCTGTTTACAATGGTAAGCACTGGACATAACCTAAGGGTCCAATGTTATGAGATTGGGCAAATAAATGGTTTTTCATTCTTATTATTAAATACTGTGCAATTATAAGAGATACTATTATAGGACAGAATTTGATATTTTGTAAAATATTTATGTTGTACTATCATGTTCAGGAAAGTACTTTTGTAAAAATAAAGACAAAGATAGATAATAGTGACATGATAGGTAGATCGATTGATAAGTGGATGGATGGATAGAGGGTTGGACAGATAGATGTAAAGTCATTGAAACAAGACTAGAAAAATCCATGTCAAAGTCAGCAGAGTGACTACCCTTGGGTTGTGGGATGATGAATGGCTTTTGTCTTTCTTGGGCTTATCTGTATTTTTTCTTTTTCTGTACTTTAAAACGTATAAAAATGTTTTCCTCTGAGTGTTCAACCACAAAACCAACACAGGATTGAAGAATACTGTAGTGGGACTGACCCTCTGCCCACCTCGAGGCAGCTGGAGGGCTCCTACAGCTCCCGGCACCCTCTCATCTGGTTTTTCATCCCAGCTCCCCTGGTGTCTCCTGCACCCAACCCCTGCCCCAGCAGGACCTCTCACAGCCCCAGGTTGTGTTTGTTTCTCACATCCCCTGCCCCATCCCTCCCCATCCTCAGCTCCATCCCTACTTCCTCTTGCCACTTCCCCTAGCCCACTAGGCTCCTCAGTCACAGAGATGATTGCCTCCTTTTGGGGCATGGACCAATCATCAGACCATGCCAGAGGAATCCCCAATCTGCTCAGTGTCCACATTCCCTCCACAGGTAGATCTGGCTTTGAGCTGAACAATGACCTCTGTCCACCTCTTGTCTTTGCCTATAATTACTCATAACTTATGCCTAGTCCCACTTCCCAAGAGAAGGGAAATGAGTCCTTATGTTAAAATCAGTGGAAAAGAGAGAGAGAGAAAGAGCGGGAGAGAGAGAGAAAGAGAGAGAGAGAGAGAGAACTCAACCAAGCTAGAAGAGGACAATGTCACCATTGCAGGCTGCAACTGGAGATTCTTATGGCCCCAGGACACTAAAATGAGCTCTGAGCTTCCTGGGGGCCAAGGAGAGCTTGATCTTCAGCTCTCCACTCCCGATGCTGGTCAGTGAGTAGGGTCAGTCCTGAACCCAGGTATTGTAAGCAGAGGTATCCATAGTCGGATTGACAGGTCTCCAAGAGGTCCCATCAGCATCACATCAAGTATGGGGTTGCGGCTGATGTCAGGATCACTCACAAGAACAGAGACACTTTCTCCTCCCGCTGACTGTCCAAAGATGGTCACAGAGCCTGGGTTCCCGCCAAAGCTGGCAATGTTGTCCTGGACCCAACGCAGGGCAGCCAGCTGGTCCAGGTGACCCCAGTTCCCCCTGCTGTGTTCATCCCCTGTACTGTGAGGAAAAAAACAGGTTGAGGGTGGGGATCAGAGATGTCATGGCAGGACCTTCAGGACCACAGATGGGGCTCAGGGGGCTGGGCTTCAGCATCTCTGAAACCTTGCCTTATATTCCTACATTTGGTGTGTGATTCCACATACATTCAACTGGCAACTATTTACTGAGCATCTACTATATGCCTGACACTGTCCTATGAGCTGAAGCACATGTGAGAGCAAAACAGGCAAAAATTCTGCCAACACTGAGCTCACACTACAAATCACAACACAGAGCTCACACTACAAATCACAACACTGAGCTCACACTACAAATCACAACACTGAGCTCACACTACAAATCACAACACTGAGCTCACACTACAAACCACAACACTGAGCTCACACTACAAATCACAACACTGAGCTCACACTACAAATCACAACACTGAGCTCACACTACACATCATAAGCGGATAAACAGATACGTAGAGAGGATATAACGATGTCAGGTAGTGAAAGTGCATTGAGGAAAATACAATGGGGTAAAGAAGAAAAAACAGGGGTGGGACTGACGGTGCCATTTCAGATCGCAACCAGGGAAGGCCTTTTGGAGGCAGTGGCATTTGAGGTCTTGGAGCCAAAGACCTTCATCAAACAAGCACAATGAGCACATGAGCCTTGCAAATAACCAAAGAAAGGAATTCCAGGCAGAAGAAAAAGCAAGTGCAAGGGCCCTGCGGCCCAGGGGAAGAAAGTGTGCGTGGGGAGGTGCAGCTAGACAGGCCCTGGGGCCCTGGCAAGGACTTCGGCTGTCATCACAGGGGACACGGGAGCCCCCGCAGGGCTTTTCACAGAGGCATCATGTGATTCAATGCATGTGTTAAGCGATCACTCTGGCTATTGTGCAGCTCAGCCCCAGCATAAAAGTGGCAGGAATCTGAAACTGAGTGTTAGGCTCATAACCCAGGCAAGAGACAGAAGACTTAGGCTGGGGCAGGAGCCAGGGAGGAGGTGCAAAGTTGTAGATTCTGAGTGGATTCTGAAGGTGGAGCCATGAGGTTTGTGAGAAAAGAGAGTCCAGGCTGCCCAAGAGGCCTTCTCTGAGCCCCTGAGAGGATGGGGCAGCAGCAGCTGAGAGGAGGCGCCGTGGGAGGAGGAGGGGGTCTCTGCTGGGGAGGGCGTCAAGGATTCAGCTGGTCCCTGGGAAGACCTGGGCACCCTTTAAAGAGCCAGGGGCAGAGAGGAGACAGTGAATGATGCCTGTGGGCTTCAAAGGAGAGGTGGGCTGGAAACGGGGGCTCTGGGCTGCTCCCTGGGATCACTGGGAATTAGTGGAGAGGGAGAGGGAGACAAGACAGGCCAGTGGACAGGGAGGTGGAGGCAGTGGGAAAGGGCTGGGGAGGAAGCATTTCACAGAGGCTGCGTGGCCATCGGCTGCTGCTGGGAGGTCCTGTGCGGTTGGGTGGAGAGCAGCGGCGGTCACCGGTGACCACGATGAGAGCAGCTGAGTGGTGTGGTCAGGAACAAACATGGCTGGCATGGGCGGAGGAGACGCACGGAGGAGAGGAATTGGAGAGAGATCATGAGGCAGTTTTATTGTAAGGCGGAGCAGAGATACAGGCTGTGGCTGAAAGGGATGTGGAGTCCCATGAAGGTGATATGGCCAAGACTGGCCTGGGGTGCCCTGCTGACAGGTAGACCAGAACCCATCCTCCATCTCCCTAGGTCTTCCCATCGGTGAGTGAAATCCCTCCCACATCCCTCCCATCACTCACTCAGGATTGGGGTGCTGCGGGGGACACACTTAGAAAATGTTCATAGTAATTCCACCCTGCAGGAGTAATTGCACCTGTCCCCATGGAAATCTGATGGGGATTATTCCATCCTTGCTTCCTGCATTGCCAGATTTCAAGCAGAAAATGGGGTACGTGGGCCCCAACACTCCTCCGGAAAGGGGACAGATGCTCCCACACCCCACCATCTGCAGCCCCCATTCCTTCACCCACAACATGCACTGAGCTCCGTCTGTGACTGCCCCTTCCCTCCTTTCTCATGAGAAGTCAGATGTGTCAATCTTCAATGCCTGGGCTAACTGTTATCTGCTATGACAGAGATATGCCATGTGTGGAAGCAGCACAGGTGAAAAGGAGATGAGCCATTCAGAGGAGGTTGGGGGCTGGGTCTTGCAGGATGAAGAGGAGTTCATCAGGTAGAATAGGCATTCCAGGCAGAGGGAACAGCACATGCAAAAGCTCAGAGGCAAGT